GTCTACTTTAGCTCACTGATGACTAGGATATCAATCTTTATGCATTCCATTTCATTTTTGATGACTTCCATGTTTCCTATATTCATACTTTATATAAATATGAGAAACTGGTGGCATAGCTTTCAGGATCCCAGCAACACACAAGCCACTACTATAGACAAACTGACCGATAAGGCTTTAAGGAAGCCAAACGTTCAGGTAGTATTCTAAATAACTCTGAAGAGTGTTAAGAAGAGAAGGTAGTATTTTGTATACAAGTACATTTATCTGTATGCTTGAATGCCATTATTGTTCATATTAAATAATTCTATGTGCTAATTTTTAGAATATTTTGTAATAACTTTATCTTCATGTTTAAAAACATATATAGCTTTCTTGCCTCATTAAACTGGAGACTAAATGCTCTTTTCTTTAATTCACAGGAACAAAATTATACAAATCCGATCATTTTCCATGACACAGATTATGTACAAATGCTACTTTTAACAAAAAATAAGCTTCTTCCTCATCATATTGAAAATGAAAACATTTACCCACATAAAAGAACAAATTTTGCTTTAGAAAAAAAATATGGAATCCTCAAACCTTCAAGTGACCGATACATTACTCCTTCTAGTCTCAAAAGAACCATGCCTACAGCATGGAAGGAAAATATACAAATACCACCATTTGAATTGAATTGTAGATTTGTAAAGGATAAACCAAAGAAGAAAACCAGTAAGCAGATATTAGAAAATAGATATAGGAATATACTCTACAATTTCTCACAGAACTTTTTCAGTATAACAAAAAAATTTGTGGTTTTCCGTGATAAAACGGTTACTCAAGAAATAAATGCTAAAACTGGAAAATTTGAAAGAATGTTTTCTACCACGAAACCAATGGACTCACACAAATTTAGTGCTTCAACTGCCAAATGTTCAAAGCCTTTGAAAAGTATACTTAAAGTACATAGAGTAAATAATATAACACCACTGGATGATTTGCTAAGTGTGCCAAGAAAAACTTAAATGATGAATAAAATGTCTTCTATACAGAAATATTTGAAAAACAAGAAGCAAACAATCAAGTTCCATGATGATAGAAAAAATCTTATCCAAATAAAAATGTTCTAATGGATGGTATAAGAAAGCAAAGCATAGAAATTGAAGTTACAAAACAACAGTGGTCTGTTAAAGAACAGCCAATATTCTTAATAAGTAATAGGACAAAATTAGAAAGAAATTGTCAACAAAAGGAACTAATTCGTGAATTTCTATTATCTCAATTTGATTCCTCAGTCATCTATATTCCAACAGCAAAATCTGCTTCAGGACCAAGAATAGCATATACTCATTCTGGAAATTTGTTGTTTGCAGCCAAATAAATATATCAGTAACTGTTCTATAACTAAAGATTACCTAAAGAAAATGTACCATGGATTGAATGTATGTGGAGTTAATAGCATATCAGTTTGGGGATAATAGTTAGAACCAAGTATATTCCCAATCTATGCAATTAATAAAAAGGCTTTATACAATCTTGAACAGCTTTTTGTCAGTAAATTTTGGAACTTCATTGCTACAAAATTATTTTTGCAAATATAAGTTAAAACTTTTTCCTCATTTAAAAATAACATCCTTTGAAGAACATCAAGGAAGCTGCAAGCCACCACATAACATGGATGAACCTTGAGCGCATTATGTTGAGTGAAATT